CCGTGCTGCCCCCCCCCCCGGCCTGCTGATACTGCTGCCAGTGTCTGCAGGCGGTCCCTGCTCAGTGCCGCCGGCACCACTGCTAGCATCTGCGGGTGGTCTCCGCTCACCGCAGACTACAAATGGTGCCCCCCCCCAGTCTCAGGAGGCACCAGTCGTTCATGGAATAGAGTAAATATGGTAATATGTCCATTTCAGTGGAAATGGACTGAGAGGCATGAAGGGGTTTACTCAGTTTATAGATCAATAAAATAAATATTTTTAACAGCAGCTTAAGCAAATTTCAGAAAACTGCAACAGGTACATAGATCAGCTTCAAGTCGGGGAGAAAAAACCCCTAACGCCAGAAGAAAGCTAGTAAGCATCATCATACAAAGATGACTCAACGGAGAATTGTATCATACAATAATAGGTAGTTATTCCCACACTGCATGTTATTGTGGGTCATACTTTGTTTTGTTATTGAAATCAATGGACATTTTCTCCTTTCATATTGTAGTTAAGATTTAGACCAGCGAAATTTAAATTTAGAATTTGGTCCCATCTATCTTAGATGCTAAAATGGCCCCCCATTACTGCAGTAGTATCTGAATGCTTCAGAATAGTGTGTTTATTCCCCAGCACACTCCTGTGTCCTTAGAAGGCACATCTACTCACATTTTACAGATGGGATTGAGGTACACAGGCAAACTATATCTCTCGCCCAAGATCTCTGGGGTGAATTGTACTACAGTCTGTTAGGGAGCTGAAGTCAGGCTTTCCTGCTTTGTTCCCTAACAACTAGATGTTTCTTCGGTTCATTGGTGCCTCCTTCCTATGTTTCATTCTTTTTTCTTTCCCAGAAACTGCAGTCAGAGTTTTGTTATTTACTGAACTGAGCACACAAGAAATATTGTACATATTGCTGCTAGACAGCCAGATTTTTACAAATATAGATTTTATTCTGTAAGGGTTTAATCACACACTTAATTTCTTTCACGTCAAAGGGGCAACGTATGCTTTAAAGGTAAACTTTTATAGGATTGGCATCATAGTATGAGTAGAATGAAGGGAGTAGTGTTTTCTTTTAATCTTTTTATCATATTATCTTCACAGTTTTATAAAATCATGCTGTTTCTTGTTTAAAAAACTTATTCTGTGGTAGAGGTATACTGAAATGTGTGGCCCATTCATGTACTATGGGAACCACTTTTCATTTTCATTTTTGTCAAGAATAAATATACACAAGAGAAATGAATAAGAAGAAATTTTTCATCCATTTTTAAATACTTTAGTATAGGATGGTTTCTAATAAGGAATGTTTTATGGTTGCATTTTTATTAATGGGAGGGTGCCTATTATGAAACAATTGGTTTAGGTTGCTGGCCATATTATGTATTGTTGTAAACTCATGGGAGGATTTTTTTTTTTTTTTTAAGTGAAGTATAACGAGTTGTCTGGAACATTTATTACCATACTAGACAATTGCCCATCAAGAATTGCCCTCCCTCCTCCCCGAGTCCGACTCCATGTGCCCACTCTCCTGCTCCAGCCCCTCAGTCCCTGCTGTCTTGGTGGCACTGTCCCCGCTGTCCCCCTCTGCCTTCAAGGAGCAGGGCCGGGGTTGGGAGGGGGGCCAGCGCTGCTGGCCTCGTCCCCCTGCTCCGGCCCTTCAGTCCCCACTGTTATAGCGGCGCTTCTGTCTGTGCAGAGCACTCTGATTGATTGGTTGTTTCAGTAAGCATTGTGATTGGTTGCTGAGAACCAATCAGAGTGCGAATAAAGCATTACGGACAGACAGAGTGACTAAGGCTTTTATAATATTAGAATGCACAAATTTAATGTAGCCTCTAATTCTCTGGTTAACTCAAAATGGCATGTAACATTTTATGCTATTTTAATGGTCATTTTTAGTCACGTCTCAACCTAATATCAGAACTTGGTTTTACTCCTGAATTTGAAGTGGGTAAAAAACATAGCTGATCAAATTAATGTTCTTATACTTCTTAAGATGCTTAGATACTTACTAGTGAGAGAAACCAGGTAGGTGGTTACCAAAATTGTTGTAACTGTAGAAATTGGTAATTTGGCTTATAATCCTGTGCAAGAATATTAGTCACTTATGCCCTACCACACTTTGTGTTTTGGGATCATAATACCTATATTTTGAGAATCCCTTTGGAAGTCTCTGGAATTATTTCCTTGTCACAAGAAATGACACCTATATTAAATTCTAATTGCTGTGATTAGTTTTTCCATCTTTTTTTATCAGTAATATATTTACAGTTCATGAACTTGGCCACATTTCCAATTAGGACTATTAGTTGTCAGCCATGATGCACTGGTATAAGTTACTTATGTGCTCTGAAGTAGTTTATACCCGCAAAAAGTGCTTTTGTTACTGTTTTTGTTCATATCAATTTTAAAAATGATAGTTTTAAAATAATAAAACACCCTGAATTAGTTTCCTGAGAAGTGGTATAATCCAACAGTTGGATATCATAAATTTTAATTTTGTTTTCTGGCTCACACATTGTGAGTACACAACAGTGTTTCTAGTCTGGAGTGATTAGTCTTTAGCTTCTTTCATCTTTTTATTTTCAAAAGATCGCCCCCCGCCCCCCCCACCCCCAGTACAAAAAAAGAGGGAAAGGAAAGAAAAGAAAAAAGCAGGTATCTGAGTAAGCAGACAATCACATGTATTACTTTTGGTAAATCAGGGATTAAATTCCTTTGTTGAACGTGTTTTGTGTCTGACATTTAATTCTGTTTGTCGACTAAGAATAAATTAAAGCATAAAATAAATGATCAGCCATGGGAAAATTTTGAATTAGGGTGCAAAAACTTGGATAGGAATACTGTTAATACAGTA